CCTGCTTTTAACATAAATACTACTCTGATTGTACATGAAACAGTGCTATAGCTCCAAAGCTGGTGAGTTCATGGGTTCTTTTCTGCAAAGAATAACTCTGATATAAAAAATAGCCATTCCATTGTAAAGTATAAATTTTACATAAACAGCGCCATTTTATGTGCCTTTCTATATACATGAAATTTTAGTTTCGTGTTTAAAGCAGTTTTGAAATACCTTTTGATGGGCAAAGGTACTCAGTAGTTTAGTCAGTCCTGGGAATTATAGCTATCCAAAGGCGATATATATATATATATATATATATATATATATATATATATATATATATATATATATATATATATATATATATATATATATATATATATATATATATATATTCAGTTATCTTTCATAGATTCTGTTTTCTGTTTAGCTTTTTACCTTTGTAAAATACTGGTCAGTGTAAGGAGGTTGTGTGATTTTTATAGCAGGCTTGACTGTATGTAGCGGTATCCATTTATATTGCATTTACTATAGGGTCTCAGCTTATATGAAGATTTATTGTAGGCTTTGTCATGCAGTGTATATTATCCTTGAGTGTGATTGATTCTTAAATATTTTTATATCTTTTTATTCTCTTGCAGCTTTATCTGTATAAAAAAATAAATAACTGAATCTTCTTTCACTCAACTAGATGGAATATTTTAATTATATGCACAAAACTGTCCATTATTCCACTTTTTGAGTATATAATTTGATCTGATATATAAACAATTAAGATATTATTTAACAAATCGTCAGTTATCTCTAATTTGTACGTTATTTAACTTTAAAAAATGTTGGGTCACACAATTTACATGGATTTGATTTGAAAGAAACAAAAATTGTTGACTGTACTATGAATCAATAGAAGTTTTATTCAACAGTTCCTTCATTTATTAACGATTCGCATTATATTTCTTCTCACTACAATGTGTAATATTTTGAAGTGATTTTTATTGTGCATGTTTTTGGTTTTATATTATTATATTATAAGTCTAACAAGTTTTTATCTGGTTATAGTCAGGATTGTTGAATTTTGTTATTGTTGAAGTACATAAAATACTTGATTGGACCTGACTTGGAAACAATGGAATTTTGAATGATTCCTGAATTTATTTTATGTTTAATATATTTTTGTTAGTATTTATTTTAAGATAATACTTTTAGGTATGTCCCATATAGATGGTTTGTTTTTCGTTTGTTTATACATCTACCAAATGCCGCAGGTCGGCTTAGTTAGAGGAATCGATACTTGTTAAAGTTACTGGGATACGAACCTATGATATTAACTTTCAAACAGATCATGGGATAATTAACAGGAACATATCTTAAAACGTTGCTTCCCGAGCAAAGTTTCTTACAAATAACATTTATTAATTTTTTAATATTTTAAATATTTTACCGCTTAAAAAAAAACAAAATATTAGCATAACTTCAAGAATATATTATTCTTATGAAAGTCGAACAAAATAACACGTATACACCCCTCAGAAATCTAGAATTAATTTGACTAAAGTTTCTCTATTTATATTTTTCTGTAATTTCATTTTAACACAACAAGTTGGATAACCCTTTCAAGACTATATATCAGGGGATGTAATTTAAACGTTCCGCTGGGTTTATCATCGAGATGGTTTTGTAGGGTAAAAAAACACCTAATGCTTTTGGAAAGGTATCGATTCCGCTTAAAAATTTGTTAATTATCGCAATTCAATGTGATTTAGTATCGTACCAATAGCGTATTAATTTTTGCCGAACTTTAAAGACCGAAACTGTAATATAGCGCATAGGATCAGTGTGAATTTCGCTGTGTCATTGAGCAAGGCACTTTACTGTTAAGTCTGTTTGCAGCCCCGATCGAATATTTTGCCCCATATCTAAGTATGGCCACACTCGAGTATTTTTGCACAAACTTCTGTATAATTTTAAATTATTTGTATGATGCTGTTCAAGATTTTTCTCCATATTTCAAAAGTTGGTAAGCAAGCACGTTGGAGGAATCATCGTATAGGCATGATTAAGTACAGCACGATGATAAAGTGAGATTGGGTGCCAACTGAGGTTACAGTGCTAAGACTTCTTGCCATGGTCGATGCACCAATTCATCCATAGAAACCACGTGCTTGCTATAATCAAACTGTTATTAGCGCTTCGTGTGGTGTATTAGACACATAAAAAAGATAACAAAGAACCTAAGTTTCAATTTAAAATTAAAAATTGTAAAATGTACATGCTTGAGTACGGCTTTATAATTCAACTCGAGTAAACGGGAAAAGGTTTTGATCTGTCCAATACTTATCACGTGTTCAGTATTAGGGGTTGTCTAGGTGTATCAAACATATTGAACTTATACCGACATGATGTAACCTTCAAGTGGTGACGTGCCCCAAAATATCAAATCAAACAAAGTTAAGTGTTCTTTCTTTCTTCCCTTCTTTCTTTCTTTCGACCATGAGTTTATATGTCTACAAAGAATTTTCATTTCTTTACGGTATACCAGGTTTCGTTTTCGTTTATCGTCAGTATAGACCATTCTTAATCGGATCCTCATGAATATTAATGTATCGCGAAAACAAGGCTAAGCTAGGAAGATCGCGACTATACTGCATATAATATATTACGTAGATTCCTTTTGCAAGAAAATATATTATACTGATCGCAGCTGTAATGGATGTAATGTATTTAAAGAGATTGTTTCCTTTTGTGTAAGAATATTTTATAGTATAGAATTACCGCTGTATATATTATAGTGCCGAAAACTTACTATATATGTCCATTCTTTAAAACGTAAGTTGATTTATGTCCTATCTCGAGTGTTCTATTTTCTCTACAGCACACAAAATACAAATTAATGAAAGATAAAGGAAACTATTTAAAGCATGAATTTTGTTTCTGATTAGGCATGGTATAAATGTACAGCTATGATCAATCAATACTGCGGTCAAAACACGCGTTCAGAATAAAACATTTACAAAATAAGCATAGTGACACAAGTTACCCTTTTAACCCAACACGACCCCGAAACCAGTAGAAATTTTGTGGTGTACTTTAAATTAATGTGTGTACATGTGAGTATGCTTGTAGTGTGCTTTAAATTAATGTGTGTACATGTGGATATGCTTGTAGTGTGCTTTAAATTAATGTGTGTACATGTAGATATGCTTGTGGTGTGCTTTAAATTAATGTGTGTACATGTGAGTATGCTTGTAGTGTGCTTTAAATTAATGTGTGTACATGTGGATATGCTTGTAGTGTGCTTGTAGTGTGCTTTAAATTAATGAGTGTACATGTAGATATGCTTGTGGTGTGCTTTAAATTAATGTGTGTACATGTGGATATGCTTGTAGTGTGCTTTAAATTAATGTGTGTACATGCAGATATGCTTGTAGTGTGCTTTAAATTAATGTGTGTACATGTGGATATGCTTGTAGTGTGCTTGTAGTGTGCTTTAAATTAATGTGTGTACATATAGATATGCTTGTAGTGTGCTTTAAATTAATGTTTGTACACGTGGATATGCTTGCATTTTAATTTGTATCAAAGGTGCACAACCTAGTTGTTTTATGGTGTTTGCTGCTTTTAGTGCCTGAGGGTAGGAGGAATAGAGATTTTCCCTTTAAATGACATATGTTTTTTTCTTTTCTGAATCATTTTTTTTTCAAATGACAATATAGATATACGATTTTATTCATACAAACACATATTTTGTTTCAATAACAGACTGGCAGTTATACATTTATCCACAAAACAGCAAGAATATATATATATATATATATATATATATATATATATATATATATATATATATATATATATATATATATAACACAAATTGATCCATTATTTATATGAAATTTTTCATAATAATTAATATTATTTTTGTGGAGTTAGTAGATGGATGAATTGTAACACCTAATATGTACATGCAGACGTTAGATAAAGTATACATAATACGAAAGAATCCTGCCTAACAACAAACAAATTTGCCATTTTATATATGGGCTATTCTGTTAATCTGCTTATTAACAATATTTTCTACTTAATTTTAACATAACCTTTATCTGCCATAATTAGGCCTCCTTGTCTCTAACAAATCTATAAACTGGTGTCTAGCTTAGCCTCGTTTGGATTCGTTAACCCAGAGTCACATGTATACAAGAATACATTCTAAGAATGGTCTTTACCAGATTTAGAACCTGAGTTTATGTCTAAAAACATTTAAATTTATTTACGGTATACCAGATTTCGACCCTGCATTTTTATCTCTTCACGGCATTTTAATTTATTTACGGTATTTGGTACAAATATTTTGTTTATTTAAAACAGCCTTAGTAAACTGTAATATAGAATTGAAATTTTATTTTGTTAAATAAACTTGATTCTTTGTATAAAGTGCTTATCTGATCTATTTTATTTTTTATTTTGTTTTAAAATTCTGAAAAAATATTTGCACGTAATATTTCTCATGTATTTATTCTCATTTTTATTACACCAGTTTGTGTGTGTGTGTGTGTGTGTGTGTGTGTGTGTGTGTGTGTGATTTGGATTTTAACGTAGCTTTACAATTTTTTCAGTCATATCGCTACCATGTCTGCAGTGTGGCAGTTGATAGTGATGTCTAGCAATGGAGCATCATGCCGCAGACATGTAGCATGATGTCCCAGCCCGTCACGTTATCCTGACACCAGGCAATTCAGTCCTAACACTAACCTGAGCGCCAAAATAGGCAGCTGTTAGTGATGTAATTATGGTTTTTAACGTAGCTTTAACAACTTTTCAGTCATATCGCTACGATCTCTGCAGTGTGGTAGTATATATTGAGGTCTAGCACAGGGGCATCATGTCGCAAACATGTAGCATGATTTTCCACCCAGTCACATTATCCTGACACCAGGCAAACCAGTCCTAATACTAACCTCTTAATGCTGAGCGTCAAGCGAGGCATCTGTTAGTACCATTTTTGTAAGTCTTTGGTGTGACTCGACCGGGAGTTGAACTCACGACCTCCCGCATTTGAGGCGGACGCTCTAACCACTAAGCCATCGGAGCGATTGCACCAGTTTTAGCTGGTGGATATATTAAATCATCAATAATTCAATCGTCTATTCCGAATTTAATTTTTAAAGAATTTGTATCAGAAATAGTATGGAAGGTAATTGTTTGAAATGTATTATTTTATCTTGAAGAAAAATCAACAGCAAACATAACAAGTTTTAAATAAATATAAATGATAAAATGGCTATATTTGAGATAATTAGCATCCGGTACTTTATGGAAAATTAGCATGTGTTATAAGGCAATATGGTACTTCATGGTGAAAAAGCGTGTTTTATATTACAAAAGAATATTGTATGGAGAAATAGAATTTTATGAGCCAATATGATACTTCACGGATGATAAACCGTTTCCTTCTTCATTTGCAACAGAAATAAAGATTTAGAAAAAAAAATTATTTGAATAACTTTATAAAGCTCTAGGGACTCAACCAGGTAGTTTTGGCCCATTTAATCTGAATTCCTAACCGAAACACATCATCGACACAGCAGCCATGTGTGTATGTGCCTCTGCAGGAATTGCCTCTCTTTGGGAAAACATGATGTGCAAAAAAAATACAAAACACACAAAAAAACATACTTTTTTAATTAGCATAATTGGTGCTAAAGCTTTTGGCAATGTCATTTTTTGCGACCCCTTATATGTCTAAAATGTGTTCGTGATTGTTCCAATGAATGGGAAATAATTAAAAACTCACTCGTACCACATGTTACTGGAGAGAAAAAAAAGATTAATGGCGGTTTACTGAAGATGCTTTTACACGTGTACAACATTAATGCCATTGTAACTTTAACGGATCGTATGAAAGAAATAACCATTTGCCAATTTTTTAAAACCTGTGGTGGGGGTGTGGTGAGATACCGTTGTATAAAAAATATTATAAGAAAAAATATTTTATTAAAAGCCAGTGATTTGCGTTTAGTTTTTCCTTTTTCAAAATCCAGACTTACAAAATATATATTTAAGTATTATTAGCTCTTTGCACATGCTTTGGCCTTCTTAAGATTGTCTGCCATGTGCTACTATCTAGCACCAGCTGTAGTGAAATATCGGAATTATACTAATAGCAGAAAAGTACGACCTTTTTGCATACATCTCTGAATAGGTATGTGGAATCATTTAGGTTTTTAGAAAAAATGTGACTCCGCACGATCATCTAAGTGAGATACTGATTGTGTACTTTAAGCTGGATATACTAAGTTTATAGGCCCGAAATGAGAATGTATTTTGAGCTGGATATGCCTATTTTATAGGCTCGAAATGAGAATGTACTTTGAACTGGTCATGCTAATTCTATAGGCCCGAAAAGAGAATGTACTTTGAGCTTGATATGCTAATTTTATAGGCTCGAAATGAGAATATATTTTAGCAGGATATGCTCATTTTATAGGCCCAAAATGAGAATATATTTTAGCTGGATATGCTCATTTTATAGGCCCGAAATGAGAATGTACTTTGAGCTGGATATGCTCATTTTATAGTCCCAAAATGAGAATTTCTCGGATCTTTCTTATCTCGATTTACGACGTGTTTTTGTTCGATTTATTCTGTTACATGGTTGACTCCTCTATCATTCAAAAAACATTTGACATAATCGACCGCATGAAAATTTCTAAAAAAAGTTTTGGTTTAGTTTTTTATTTTAAAAATTATTGCCATTATGGACGGTATTAAGCTAAAGGAGAAAAAAAGGCCAAACTTTATATAATAAGGCTCAGCAAACATTAATTAGAAACAAAGGTGCTTGAAATGTTAAAATGCATTGCGTAAATTATTAAATTCGCTTTTCGAGCACTAGTAGTACATTAGCAAGTAAAGAAAATGTCATAAACATTTAATTATATAACTATTATATTTGGTTTTAATCTTCCATTTTAGAGGATTTCAAAGCTCAAATTGATCTCTCACGTGTATTTTGCACTTCTATGTATTGTTTCTATTTCAGTGTTTCTTTTCTTTCTGACAGTGCTTATTTATCAGGTCATCAACTGGGCACATATAACCATGCACACAGTCATGTTCCGCTGTGTTTCGATTAGGGAATTGCTTACCGCGCAAGCGCCAGTTGGTGACGTCCGAAACGGAGGCAGAAGAAAGATACTTTATAAATCCCATAGAGTCTGTAATTAATATTCGTTCACTTCTTTCTTGTATAACCTAAATTTAAGTTTTTCTTTCCAAAATCATTAGAAAGAGATATCAGTACTATAAAGTATTGTACCAGATTATGGAAGAATAGGTAGCTACAAGCTTGCTCGTTAAATAATGTCGGTGTTTAGTCACTATACTTGTAAATTGTATTGCCAAAACCAGCTACAAGCTTACATCAAACAAAAAGGGATTCGGGAAGAAGAGTTCTTATCATCCTAATATGTACTGATCAAAATGAATATTATTTTTAGCGTAATATCTATTTGAAATAATTGTGCGATAAAAATATAATAAAATGGCAATACATTAAATTCGGTCCTCCAATTATCAAAGGCCAAGTTTAAATTAAAATACAAATCAGTTCATTCACAGTGCCCTCTGTCAACAAGCTGCTATAATTAACAAATGCCTGTCCAAAATTGTCTGAGATCAGATAGTGATCGCACCAGTGAGGTCAATTGATCCTTCCTTTGTCTGATAATCATGGATGAGTTCCTCAGTAAGCTGATCGGGAATAATCTAGACTGTAACACTGATCTGTTAAGGTGTCGCTTTCCTTTGTCTGATAATCATGTTTGAATTCTTCAGTAAGCTGATCAGGAATAATCTAGACTGTAACACTGTTCTGTTAATGTGTCGCTTTCCTTTGTCTGATAATCTTGTTTGAATTCCTCAGTAAGCTGATCGGGAATAATCTAGACTGTAACACTGATCTGTTAATGTGTCGCTTTCCTTTGTCTGATAATCATGTTTGAATTCCTCAGTAAGCTGATCGGGAATAATCTAGACTGTAACACTGATCTTTTAATGTGTCGCTTCTCTCCACTTACAGTCGACTTTACCTGTGTTACGGGGGGAGGGGCCTAGTGGCCGAGTGGTCTAAAGCGCTCACCGTTAGGATCACTGCCATCACATCTCTGCGTGAGTTCGAGTCAAGGATTTGGCCAATATGGGTATGTGAGAAAGCTTGTGAGTAGCTTCTTGTTACTTGGTGGTTCTTACCGGGTTTTTTCCGGGTTCTTCCTCCACCATGTATACAGGCCGCCATGATAGCCTATATTGTGCTGAAAACTGGCGTTAAACCCTACAACAACAACAAAAACAACAACCTGTAATACGAACTAACTTAAAAACGTGGCTTACAGTTGACCTTACCAATGTTATGAACTCTTCTAATGATTAGGCTAAGACGTTTGAAATAACTGTCGAATACTCGTAAAGACACGAAATAAATAACAAAAGGTTATGTTTCAGTGTTATTGGCAAGAGAAGGTTATCCCTCAAATTTGGTTTTATGCAAAAGAAAATTAAGAAATTTACGCTGCTTTGTGGTTGACCTAACTGGGGTTTTTGATACATTTCAGGAACAAGACATGCTATCCAAACAAGCCTCAACGAAAGAGAATAACAAATCTATATACAAATAAGAAAATGTCACTTAAAAAGAAAGTAGCAATGACAGTATCTCACGATTGTGACTTTATTATACATAAATTAATCACCTAATTGTTTATTTTGCAGCAATGAACAACTACAAAATTACACTAAGTTCACAGTCTATATGTGTCTAAATCAAGCTGTTTGGTTTCTAAATAGTCAAAACTGTAAATAATATGTATACAAATATGTAGTCACCTGTCCGAAAAGTTATCTTGATACAGTCTGACTAATAACCGTTTAACCCTGAAAAGTAACTTGATACGGTCAGAATTATAACTGACCCTGAAAAGTATCTTGATACGATCTGACGTGAAAGTCACACAAGACATAAAGCCTCAAAGCACACGTAACCGTGCACACAACACCTAAAATCTTACGAAAGACGTTCGCATACAAATAACATGTAAGAACCTGAAAATAAACATAATCGCTCGCACAACACATAAAGTGTCTGCTTTATTGTGACTGTATTAATTTGTTTCCGGTTATTTTGAGGAAAACATGTATAGTCCAAGTGAAGCTCGTATTTGAAGATGATTATCTCAATGTAAAATGAAACGTTATATTTGGTTTCCTTTGGCGAACGTTATCTAGCGCCGAGGTAATTGAATGAGAGTTTTATCCAAGGACACGTCATAGCAGCCAATCTGGTAGTTGTTACGTATATTTAAATTGCATTGTTTTTTAGTTAGTTTTAATTTTAATTTTTTTATTTCATTATATACAATTGTAATGAAACATTCTATGATGGACATAACCTTGTCTAAAATCATGTTTATTTTCTACTTGACCTTAATTATTGATAGTTTAAATTCTGTGAACAACTAATACATAGCTAAAATATTCTCTATTTTCTTGGGTTTAATATTAGGATAATTACTAATAGAAGCAAACATGTCTATATTGGGTATTGGTCTAGATTATTGGAATTTCCATACCATACATTCCATAAAACACGTAAATATAATTTCTACAGATTTTCCCTCAGTTTGGATTTCAGTCTGTTTATATTATTAATTCTTGGTTTTCTCTCTTTTTTACACATTCATTTTGTCCAAGTCGTTCGAAAGAACAACTCTACAACATATTTGTAAGTGAGCTTGCTCAACTCTATTGCTGAACAGATATTATCGTGGATGGAAGAATTTAGAGTTTCGGATCCCGCTTGGAGGTTAAAAGATTTTTCCATTACCTAGTTGCAGCTATGAGCGGTTAGTAAGACACTTATCATCTGCAAATAAATTTATATTAGAGTGTACAAAGTATATATATATATATATATATATATATATATATATATATATATATATATATATATATATATATAAATATATATATATATATATACATATATATATAGATATATAGATATATATAGATATATATATATAGATAGATAGATA